ATGTTGTTCAGGCTGGTCTTGAACTCCTGGGCTCAAGCCATCTGCCCACCTCAGCCTCCCAAACTGCTGGGATTACGGGCATGAACCATTGTGCCTGTAATTGATTACAGACACAATGGGTCATGCCCGTAATCCCAGCAGATCTTTTAAAATTTTTCAAAAGCAACTGGCCTTAGGCAAGTCACCCTGTTTCTTTTCTTTACCTATGAAAAATCAGGGGCCAGGCACATTGGCTCATGCCTGTAATCCCAGCAGTTTGGGAAGTCAAGGCAGGCCCATCATCTGAGATTAGGAGTTCAAGACCAGCCTGGCCAACATGGTGAAACCCCATCTCTACAAAAATACAAAAAGTAGCCAGGCTTGGTGGTAAACGCTTGTAGTCCCAGCTACTTGGGAGGCTGAGGCAGTACAATTACTTGAACCTAAGAGGCAGAGGTTGCAGTGAGCTGAGATCACACCACTGCACTCCAGCCTGAGTGACAGAGTGAGACTGTTTCAAAAATAAAAGGGGGGGGGTGGATAAAAAAGAAAATAAAAATCAGGGAACTTGACATTGCTTGTGGGAAAATAATGAGTGGTTCAGAACCTCCTCCTAAAAAAGCTCAGGTCTTCATCCTCTGGCCCCTGTCTTCCGAAATCTACCTACCCTACTGTTCCTCAGTTCCAGAAACACCTGGCCAGCATTCCCAGCAGCAACTCTGATGACACGATAAGCAAGATCTCCTTATATCTGAGCATCCAAGGACTTGGGGAAAGTGCTAGTTAGGAACACTAAGTCACACACAGCTCATCACTCAGTTCTCAGGACTTCCCCACCCTTCCTTTCCGTCCCCAAGAAATGACATGTGGCTGCTTTGGGAGTGACCAAATCTCTGGAATTTCTTCCCTAGCATACTCCTTCCACACTCTGCCCCACAAACTAATTTCAACAATCCAGCCCTGTGCATAACGGAAACGTGATTGAGTGGCCTGTAGCTTGCAGTATCTTTCACTGGCTTTGTTTCTTAAAGAGTTTAAAAAAAAAAAAAATAGCTGTCTTGATTGTTGTTTTTTCCCCTCAAATGCAAAGATTTGGTTCTGAGTGAGAATTTACAGAAAAATTTTAAATCTGGAAATGTCCAATTCAGGGAATTAGAAATGTATCATCCCAATAGATGTTTGATATACAACTAGCATGTATTGCACATCACGTATGGGCCATGAGCTACGAATACAAATCACCTTTAAACAAATCCAAGTAAATTACGAAAGTGAATGTGGCTTGCTGTCTGAAGGAGGCACTGAGGGTCCCAGCTTTTGTGTTCAGCATGCCCACACTCCAATCCAGGCTTTGCACATAGTAGGTTGTTGCAGCCGTCACTTCCCAGGAAGGACTTCCCAGTTGTCCTTTGTCAAATAAGTACACTGAAGTGTTACAGTGGTAGTCAGAGACTTAACTAGGCTGTGCGTAAATAGGAAAAGCTGCTAAGATTACCTGAAAGTTTACTCTATGCAAATGCTTTGCCTGAATTAACTCATTTAATCCTCAAACAACCATAAAAGCAGAAATGTGTTTATTATTTTATGAAAATGTAGTTATTATTTAGAAGTTAATAAAATGTAAGCTCCAGGATGCCTCACTTGTGCAAGCCCCTAAAAATGGGTGATATTTGTGGTGCCTGCCAGAATGCCAAAGTGTGTAATTTGTTGTGCTTTCTTTGTCATTCTAAATAAGTGGTCATTTTGGCATCTAATTTTGTAGTCATAATTTGATAACTTTTTTCCTTCAAGAGGGCCATGAAAATTGTGTAAACTTCACTTTCCTCCCAAAGCCTGGACCTACCCCTGCCTATGCAGTAGGAATTATTAAAAATTCTATCTTTCAGATGATGAAATTGAGACCCAGAGAGGTTAAGTGACTTGCCCAAGAACACACAGCCAGTAAGTGATGGGGCCCAGATTTGAACCCAGGCAGTCTGGCACCACATGGCATACTCAATGAGAACACATTATTCTCTCTTATTATTTTCACGTAAAGCTCCTAGCAAACTCTCTGTGACACTGGGACATTATGGTTACTCAATAACTGATGGCTTTTACTGTTTTGTTTATTTAAAACTGCTTTGATAATAATGGGAATATAAATCTATCTTTATTTAAAGAAACCATATAATTTAAACTAACAAAACAGATAACTCTGTAGCAGTTTTTCTACAAGGGACTTTCTTTTAAATACTAATTTCCAAAAAGATTCTTTTAAAATACTGCTATTCAAAGTGTGCTGCTGGGTGCAGTGGCTTATGCCTGTAATCCCAGCACTTTGGGAGACCAGGGCAGGTGAATCATTTGAGCTCAGGAGTTTGAGATCAGCCTGGCCAATGTGATGAAACCCTGTCTCTATTAAAAATACAAAAAGTAGCTGGGAGTGATGGAGCACACCTGTAATCCCATTTGCTTCAGAGGCTGAGGAATGAAAATCACTTGAACCTGGGAGCGGGAGGCTACAGAGAGCAGAGATCCCACCACCGCACTCTGGCCTGGGTGACACCACAGTGAGATCCTGTCTCAAAAAAAAAAAAAAAAAAAGTGAGGCCGGGCACGGTGGCTCATGGCTGTAATCCCAGCACTTTGGGAGGCCGAGGCAGGTGGATCACGAGGTCAAGAGATCGAGACCATCCTGGTCAATATGGTGAAACCCCGTCTCTACTAAAAATACAAAAAATGAGCTGGGCATGGTGGTGCGTACCTGTAATCCCAGCTACTCAGGAGGCTGAGGCAGGAGAATTGCCTGAACCTAGGAGGCGGAGGTTGCAGTGACCCGAGATCGCGCCATTGCACTACAGCCTGGGTAACAAGAGCGAAACTCTGTCTCAAAAAAAAAAAAAAAAAAGTGTGGTCCATGGACCACCTGCATCAGAATCACCTGGGCCCCATCCCAAACCTAATGGATCTAAACCAGTGGAAGTGGAACTCAGGAAACTGAACGTAAAAATTGCATAAGATTTGCATAGACTTCCTTTTTTAAAAATTAAGTTTACATATAATTTTAAAGACCATAATGATTGAGAATAGAGCACTCATTACATTCCCAGGTTCTGCCCTAAGAGTTAAGTATTTGAATTGTTTCACTCTTCAGAATTCTTGTTAAGTAACTGCATCATCCCCATACGGAGATAGAGGCTCATAAACATTAAGTAACTCCTCAGGAGGTGCAGACCTAGGATTTGAACCCAGAAGACGTGCTGAACCCATGTCCTCAAACCCTATGTTACAAAAACTAAATATAAAAAAAGAATGGATTAGGGATAAAAGGTAAAATTGCAAGTTCATAGAACTTTATACCTTAGGGTTTTTATTTTCCTGATTTAGTCATTTTCAAGATAAATAAATATTGCCTTGGATTGAAGACAGCATGAAATCACTAAAACAGGACAAACCCATGTTTATCTATGACAGAAAGTCCCAGGACTGCTAAGCCTACTTGACCTTGTAGATGTTACAGTTTAAACAGTCTTCCTACTTCATACACAGAATCTTTGTTTCCATCCATCCCACACTGTCCTGTCTCCACGCCCCCAAAAAAGTTTCAAGATCTTTACCCTAAATTCCTTCACTCAGCACTGCAGCAGCTGAGTCTCAGCCCAAGGCCAGCATAAGGTGCTGACAGTGTTTGCAGCCTTTCCGGTGTCACAGCTCATTCAGTCCTCACCACCCTATCCTTTCTCCACATTTCACAGAAGAGGAATGTGAGGCCGAAAGGAAGTTACTCAGGGTCCCAGAGCTGATAAGTGACAGAAGCAAGAATCAACCCCACACATCCTAGCACCAAGCACATGCCTTCAGCCACTTACTAAAACATCTCCAGTGATTGAGTTCCCACTGTATACCAGGTCCTTAACACAAACTATCTGAGTCCTTATGAGTTTGCTCAAAAAGAGCCATATTCCCTGCCCTGACCAACGAGGACTTGAAGGCTCTGAGAGATGAACGGACTTGCCCAGAACACACGGACTAAGTAGAGCTCAGCCTGTCTCCTTGCAGCCAAAGCCTGCACTTCTCCAACACCACTACCATGCCTCCTGGGACTTTTATTAGCTATTCCCTCCCTAGAGAGAAGTGCCATTACTTCCACTTTGCTGTTAAGCACATTCCCAGGACAGAGAGCATGACACCATCTTCATGTTTAGGCAGTCGGTCTTTAACTCTGCTCTGAAAAACAGGCGCTGGAAAAGGGAGAAGACGTTTGCCTATTTGCAACCTCCACGCTGCACAAACACGCTGGGAGCTAAACAGCTTAACTATTTAAATGGCATGTGTGTGAACAGCACTTCTCCTTTGTGACGGGGCCCTGTGGCGCGTTAGATCTCAATGCTATTGGTGTGAACCCAATTCATACTTTTTAAAGACCAAATGCCTGTCTACTCATCATTTTATTGACATTTGGTATCTGCAGGTTTTATTCGCCTGTGAGGTTAAGAGACATTTAAAGCGTAAATCCTGACAAACGCACGGACCAGCACCTGGAGGAACCCAGACGCTTCGGTTCTCCATGCCGGCCACCTTTAAATGCTAAACCACCGGTGGTCACTAAATGGGAAAGTCGTGTTCTCCCGGCTTTCCGACGGGAAAAGTTGTCTTCCAGGAGTCTGGAACTCCTCTCAGATTGCCTTTCTCCCTGGATCTGCTGGCAATGATGGTAACAGCAGACTGCCCCCAACGCGCGGTAAGGAAGAAACATTGTAATTACAGTAACTTCTGCAGCTGCCTCCGAAATTAACCACGACCAACAGAAATCAGCGCAATGAGCAACAGCCAAGAAGCAAGCTCCGCAGGACGCGTCCCGGACACCGCTCTGCAGGAAGCCTCAGGCCAGGGCAGAGTGATCCACAGAGGGGGACCCCTGGGCCTCGGGTGGGGGCCTGGGCGACGGTCCAAGGGGGCCCGGGCAGAAGCCCCGAGGCCGGGGCGCCGAGGGAAGGGGGCGGCCGCGCCCAGGCCCGGGTCCCGCCGGCTCCACTTACTTGCTCCGAAGAGTGGCCCCAGCTCCGCGCCTCTTCTTGCGACCCCACGCACAGGGACAGCCCCAGGCACAGCCCCAGCAGCAGGAGCATGGCGGGGCGAGGGTGCGGGACGCTCAGGGACCCGGCGGGACGCGCTTTGCAGCACCCAGGGCTCCGGCCACTGCCGGGCGCGCTCGGGGCCGCCCACCACGCAGTCCCAGCCCGGACCCCGCCCACCCCGAGCCCAGCCCGGACCCCGCCCACCCCGAGCCCAGCCCGGACCCCGCCCACCCCGAGCCCAGCCCGGACCCCGCCCACCCCGCGGTCCCCTCCAGGACTCCAACTCTCCCACCCCCAGCCCAGACCCCACCTCCCCGCCCCTCAAATCCGGGCCCCACCTTCCCCGTTTCCTTTCCCAATCCCGGACCCTCCTTTCCAGCCCGCAGACCAGATCCTGCCTCCCTGGACACCCCTAGCCCGGGCCTCGCCTCCCTGAGCCCCAATCAGGACCCAGCATCCCCCGGTCCCCAACCCCAAGCCCCGCCTCTCCGCGCCCCAGTTTCCCCCATCTCCCCAGTCCCAGCACTTTACTAAGGGCCAGTCTCCTCTGTCGAACCTCCTACTCCGTTTCTTGCCAACACCCCCGGACCACCCCCCCCCCATCTCTTTCTTCCTCGCCCTCAAAGTGAAAGACGCTTCTTTGCGGACTCGCTTGATTTCTGTCGCCAGAAGACGCGGGAAGGCCTGCCTGGCCCCCAGCACAAGGCCCACCGCGCACCTGCCACCTGAAGCCGGCAGCTCGTCCCTTCTGCACGGGTCGCAGACGCTCAGCAGGCCGGATAAAGGATGCCACCTGCAGCCTAGCGCAGGAGGGACTGGCCGGCTGCCGCCTTCATGTTCTGGACGGAGAAAGAAACGAGGGCAGCTGTAGTATTTCTATTCCATGTGGGATCCTATGGGGCCACGTCTCCGGAAGCACGGAGAATGTTGACAGTGCAATCTAAAGAGAAAATCACATCGCCAAATCGCATCAACAGTATGATTGCAATTAGGTGGAAATACATATAGAAAAAAAATTGAAAAATAAAAACAGGGTCGGGCGTTGTGGCTCATGTCTGTAATCCCAACACTTTGGGAGGCTGAGGCGGGCAGATCACGAGGTCAGGAGGTTGAGACTATCTTGGCTGACAGTGAAACCCCGTCTCTACTAAAAATACAAAAAATAGCTGGGCGTGGTGACACACGCTTGTAAACCCAGCTCCTAGGGAGGCTGAGGCAGGAGAATCGCTTGAAGCCGGAGGCGGAGGTTGCGGTGAGCCAAGATCGCACCACGGCACTCCAGCCTGGGCGACAGAGAGAGACTCCATCTCAAAAAAAAAAAAAAAAAAAAAAGAAAAAAAAGAAAAATTAAAACAGTGGGTAGGTTAGTTTGTGGTGAGATTCCTCGAAAATAATTTATTCTTGCTGAAATGCTGTTTGTTTAGGAGAGGTTAAAAACAAACACCTGCTACTCTGAAATAAATGAAAGGAAAATTATTGTCATTAGCAGTTAATCCTTTAATAGCCTAACCACTGACTGCAAAGCATGCAACCAACAAGAAACGACAGTCGTTGGTCCAGCGAGGTTTCCACAACAAAACCACTGACAAGCCTGGCAGCAAACAAATTGTGTGCCCATCCTGTCCTTGTTTGTAACCAAGGAAGATCATTTCAAATCATCTGGAATCAGGATTTGCCTACGTTTTCCTCAAGAGGAAAGTAACTATTTGTGAACCGGAAGTTGAATTGGACAAAGCCAGGTTATTTGAAACAGGGAACCACGCAGCGGTCATTATTTCAATCCCATGATTGCAGCAAAACAGAGACTCCATGGTCTCATTGTCTTTCCTTCCCTACCATCCCTTTCTCTTGAAATGCCGAAAGGGGTCATTTTAAGCTATTTTTGCCTTTATATCTGATCTTTTTTTCCCCAGATTCATACTAACTGGGTTTACAGCTGTCCAATGTTAAGAAAAATCAGTTTTATTTTCTTCACCTGGGAGAACCCTCTGATTCTACTCTAGGCTGTGGTGCTAATGTGTTGTTTGTTTAATATAAGGCCATTTTCTCCAATTGGATCAGTTCTCTGAGGACAAGCATCTCGCCCAACTTCTAGCACTGTACCAAATATATTGTTAGCAATTAACGGGCTTTTGATGAATGGGATTAGTAGACGGGAGGAATGAGTGTGGAGGGTAGAGCCAGGCTGTGCCAGGCAGGCAGGGCTGGACGATGGTGCAAACTTGACTTTTGCCTAGCTGTATGACTTGAGAGAGCTTCTGAACTTCCTATTATATTCAAGCTGTATTAGTTCAGTATTCTATGTGACACCTGTATATCTGGATGATGATCTTTAAAAACTAGGTAGGTATGATTTTAAAAAATGAGACCCAGTGAAAGTGTTCCAAGACTGTCAGCAAGCATAAGCAATGATTTATATCAGCCTTATAAACAAGGATGAAAAAAATCAACCCACCCCCAAAAAGGGGACATATTTGAATAAGGGCCAAGGTGTCCCCACACGCATTTGTCCTTTCGGTCCACCTCTCATTTTACTTCCAGGAGGAGCTGAATTTCCAGTTGCTGAACACGTAAAACCTCAAGGCTAGAAAAGGCCCTGCAGGATGTGCAGCTCACTTCATTGACAGCACCACATACCGTGAATGACAAATGGCAGGGAAGGGCCTCAGTGTTCACAGACAGGATCTAGGTGCAGAGCTCAGCGACAAGGGACTCAGAGTCCAAGAATGAACAGGAGCTGTTCCTCCTGGGCCAGAGATGCCACTCTGTCCATGCCATTTCTAGGAAATGATTCCCGCGAGTAACTGAATGATGGACTGAAGTATTCCAGAATTATCTAATCACACTTGTGAGCGTTATCCCTTTATCCTGGTCTCCTACTGGAGACTACCAACAGATGGGCCCAAAAGCAGAGTCAAAACAGCCTTGACTTAGGGCCAGGCATGGTGGCTCATGCCTGTAATCCCAGGACTTTGGGAGGCCGAAGCGGGCAGATCACCTGAGGTCAGGAGTTTGAGACCAGGCTGACCAATATGGAGAAACCTCATCTCTACTAAAAATACAAAATTTGCCAGGTGTGGTGGCACTGGCCTGTAATCCCAGCTACTCCGGAGGCTGAGGGCAGGAGGCAGAGGCTGCAGTGAGCCGAGATCTTGCCATTGCACTGCAACCTGGGCAATAAGAGCAAAACTCTGTCTCAAAACAACCACCACCATGACTTGAAGAGATTAAAGAGTTGAAAGAAGAGTGTGGGTTTGTTTTCTTTTAAACCTCTCCCTTGATTTTATACCCTGACACCCCATAGGTAGAGTCAAGTCATAGCCTAGTCCTTTGGCCTCCGCCGCCTCCCTGCTCCCATCCTCGCCTCTAAGCCTCTGAAAGGCCGTTGTTCTATTCTGGGCCAGCTCTTTCTCCCCCTCCTTGCTCTGCACCTTTTTTATCTACTTATCTGGCCTTGTGTGTTTCTCTTGGACCCCTGACAACTGTGTAGACTCCATACAGTTTTTTACAACCTTGACTTTTTTTTTTTTTCTTGATTAGAGGGACTACTAGGGAGGAACTGGGTTCCTTTTGACTTTGATTCAATAATTTCTCAGAAGCCCAGTTTTAGCTGCCAGGAGTCTAGTTATACCCACTTTTCATCCACTTCACCAAGCATTGAGTTTTGTCCAGAGATTTGTGAAGGAAGAAATAGAGAATGCAGTTTGTAATTTATGATCGGTGATTGCTGAACTCATCAAGCTTCACAGAGTGTAATGCTTACCGTATTTTAATTATTCTCTTGCAGATTTGGGACCCAAGTTAGACTCTGATTTGGAGTTCAAAACCAGCCTGAGCAACCCAGCAAGACCCCCATCAAGAAAGAAAGAAAAAGGAAGGAAGGAAGGAAGGGAGGGAGGGAGGGAGGGAGGGAGGAAGGGAGGGAGGGAGGGAGGGAGGAAGGGAGGGAGGGAGGGAGGGAGGAAGGGAGGGAAGGAGGGAGGGAGGGAGGGAAGGAAGAAACAAGGAGGGGGGAAGGAAGAAAGGGAAGAAAGGAAGGGAGGGAGGGAGGGAAAGAAAGAGAGGGAAGGAAAGCAGGAAGGAGGGAAGGAGGCAGGCAGGCAGGAAGGCAGGGGAGGGGGAATGGGAGGAAAAGAAAAAGAAAGAGGGAGAAAATAAGGAAGGAAGGAAAATAAAGCAGGACAGAAAGAAAAGAATAACCTTCTTGATGATACAGAAATCCTGCTCACACATCCCGCAGCTATAGTAGCATACACATGCAACTTATAACAACGATGACTATTTCTGCAACCCAAGCTGGCCGCCACCACCAATACTGTGCAGTGAGTAGTTGAACATGAGTGCTTTTCCAATGACCTCAGTGCTGTTGGCTCTCTATCCAGTATTCATCCTGGCTGTGACACCTGTCCATAGTCATACATGTCAAGAACTCTATACGATTATGCAATATGCCTAATGTGAAACGCCAAAGGAATGCAAGCCTCTGGCAGTGATCTCCTCAATTCTGCACGAGCATCTACTGTTTGATCCACCAAACCCACTTTGGAGAATTTATCGTACAAATGAACCTGCTCACCTACAGAAAGGTGTGGGTACAACATTACGCATTACAGCATGAATTTGTTCCTAACGTCCAGAGATTGGAAACAAGCCAAAGGTTCATTAACAGGAGTCTGGTTAGATACAATGTGTAACTATGAAGTCTGGTTAGATACACTGTGGTACTATGAAGTCAAATTAGATACAGTGTGTTACTGTAAAGTCCCATTAGATACAATGCAATGCTATGAAGTCCCACCAGATACAATGTGGTACTATGAAGCTGTGAGAAAGAATAAGGAAGCCCTCTATGTCTGGCTACAGAAAGACAGGCAGTGTCATGTAATTAGGAGAGGAAGAGCAAAGTGCAGGCTGCCTTTAGTGTAAAAAAGAGAGAAAATAAGAAAGCATATTCATATTTGCTTACATGTTTTGCATAAAGAAATTCTAGGAAACGTAAACCACAAAGGAAAGTATTTGTGGGGATGAGGTGGTGAGAGGATGGGAACAGGACAGATTTGGTTTCAGAAAAAGAGGGGTTTGGTTTTGTTGTTTTACTGTATTATATATTTACTGTATTATTTTAATATTTGATTATTTTTGACCACAGTGAATATACTACA